TACCCTAATTTGCTCATCAATTTATTTTTACCTTAGTTTTATTCTGTGGACTATACTAGTTTGGCATTAGTTACCACCTATCATTAGTTACCGCATGTGATTTCATGAAAAAAAGGAGTAAATAAATACAGTCGCTCAGCTATGAGGATACCTTCTAAGGAACAGCTCCTTAGCTGATCTCATCATTGTACAAACATCACAGAGTGCACTTACACAAACCTAGGTGGCATAGCCTACTCCATGCCTAGGCTATATGATACAGCCTACTGCTCCTTGGTTACAGACTTGTTCAGCATGTTATTATACTGAATACTGTCTGTGACTACAACACAGTGATAGGTGTTTGTGCATCTGCACATATCTAAACACAGAAAAGGTACAGTGGAGACACAATAAAAGATGGAAACATGACAATATAAAAGATGGAGAATGGTACACCTAGATAGGGCACTTACCATGAGTGGAACTTGCAGGACTGGAAGTTGTTCTGGGTGAGTCAGTGAGTGAGTGACAAGTGAATGTGAAGGCCTAGGACACTACTGTAGACTTTATAAACATTATAAACTTAGACTATACGAAATTTATTTTTAAAATGTTTTCCTTTCTCCAATAATAAATTACGCTTAGCTTACTGTATTTTTAAAAATTTGTCAACTTTAATTTTTTTTTTAATTTTTTGCCTCTTTTCTAGCAACACTTGGCTTAAAACACAAACACTGTGAATCGGTACAAAAATATTTTCTTTGTATCTTCATTCTATCAGTATTCTTAACTTTTTTAAAATTATTTTTAAGCTGTTTTTGTATGCAATTAAGATACAAACACACATTAGCCCATAGCCTAGGACTACACAGAATCAAGATCATCACCGTCACTAGGCAATGGGGACTTTTCAGTTCTATTATAATCTTATGGGACCACTGTTACATATTCAGTCCATCCTTGACCAAAAACGTCATTTCGCGGTGCATGACTATTTAAGTCTTTTCATCTTGTATTAAAAGTGTGATCATAAGCCATAATGAAAACACAATAAAAGTGCTAGAATGAAAATTATCTGGGAGAATTACAGTAAGGGAATGGGGAAAAAAAAACTTATTATTTATTCTGGATCAAAACACAAGGGAAGGACCAATCACAGAGGAGAGGTTTGGATTATGAAAGCAGATGGCCTGGATTCCACCCGGCTCTACCAATCACTAGCTGCATGACTTTGGGCAAATAATTTACCTCCCTGGTCTCACTGTCCTCATTTTTAAAATGGTGATGTTACAAAACAGTGCCCACCACGTCGGACTGTGATGAGGCATAACTTAGTTGATATCTCTAAAGTGCTTAGAAAAGTACTCAATCAATAGTAGCAGCAACGTAAGTGTTTGTTAAAATTAGTTTCAATTCGGACTTGAAGGTAATAATGATTTTAAAAAGGCAAGGCAGAGAAACAAGTGAGCAAAGATATAGAAAAATACAAGCACCAACTTTATGAAACAAAGCTTCTACCCTTTGTTTCATAAAGGGTAGGTTGTTAAATGTACAGGGTTGGTTAAATGCACAGGAAATATGGCAAAATAATCAGTAAAGACTAAACTGTAGAAAAGATTTGAGGAAAAAATGTACGAGAAGGCTTTGAATTCCTGCTGTATGAATATAAACATTGTACTGTAGAAACAAGGTGTTTAAAGGATTTGAGACCGAGGAAGACCATAATCACATGAAGGAAAGAAAGTGGGTTGTGTGTTCAGTGCCCTGCTGGTGCCTAGCATATGAGCTGCTTATGATTTCAAGTACACAGGTGGTAACCATAAGTACACAAATAAAGGCATTTAACTCTGACACTGAACCAGTCATTACTCCACCACGAACTGAAACCAGGGTCTAAAATTTGAACTTAAAAATAATGCTATCACAGAATATTAACCATCAAGACATTAAAACAGCATTAAATGACAAGCAATGCATATACTGTAATCACGAGGGATGGGTTTTCATCTGTGCAGATGGAGGTATCTGTCCAGGTATTGCATTCAAAATAAACAAAAAAACTGCTTCTGTCTTCCTCATCTGTTCATAACACTTTCAACAACTTAATTTAGAAACTGACAACTGAATTATAAATCATATTCAGTAAAAATGGCAGATCTAGTGTAAGGAATGCAATACCCTCTAAACAACAGCAGTGGGTATGCTCGATTCTCCACACTCTATTCTGGAGGGGATATTCATTCTGTGCTGGTATTTTGCAAAAAGGTATATGTAAGAGTAATTTAATCCTAAGTGAAATATCACTGGGTTAATTTTATTACATACACACATATATAAAGATATGTATATATATAAAATAAATGTTGTAACATGCACTTTTCTGTGTACTAATCTTACTTGTATAAAAGTTATATACAACAGCCACAGGAAACTAATATACCAGGTAAATAATTTCTTATGATGAATACTACATATAGTGTTCATATATATATGTATATATCTCACTAAAAATAAAGTGTGTATATATATATACAGAGATATCTTTTTATCTACATTTCACTAAGAAGATTGGAATGCTGACATATAAATGTCATTTCTGGGAGACTTCTGTTTCTCTTTTTAGCTTATTTTTATTTTTGTAGATATGGGGTCTGGCTATGTTGCCCAGGCTGCTCTTAAACTCCTGTCATCAATCAATCCTCTGGCCTTGGCCTCCCAAAGCACTGGGATCACAGGCATGAGCCACTGTGCCTGGTCTGTTTCTCTTTTTACTTATCTATATGTATTTTCTGTTCACTTTTTGGGTGAGATTTGAGGACAGATGCTTCAGTCTCTATTATTTCAAAGAGCTAAGAGACAATGCCTTGATTGGGAGGTTTGCTATCTGCTATGGCACCAATAATGCACCTGGCCACTATGAACCATACTATTTACCTGCATCTACAAATAAACAAACAAACATAAACCAGTAATGTAATAAGTTTGGAGACTTTCAGAAGAGTTTTAAAAATGTATTTTGTTGGCCGGGCACGGTGGGTCACGCCTGTAATCCCAGCACTTTGGGAGGCCGAGGCAGGCAGATCACGAGGTCAGGAGTTAGAGACCAGCCTGGCCAACACAGTGAAACCCCGTCTCTATTAAAAATACAAAAAAAAAAAAAAATAGCCAGGAGTGGTGGCAGATGCCTGTAATCCCAGCTGCTCGGGAGGCTGAGGCAGGATAATTACTTGAACCCAGGAGGCAGAGGTTGCAGTGAGCCAAGATAGTGCCATTGCACTCCAGCCTGGGTGACATGGCAACACTCCATCTCAAAAAATAAACAAAATAAAATAAAATATATTTTGTTATATTTGGCTTGTAAATGTACAAGCTCCCATCACAACAAAGATAAAACTAACTAGACTAATAGGCCACTCAAAATTATCCTGTCCTAATCACAGGAACCTTATCTAGAAAAAAAAATTTCTAAATAAGGTTACCTTATCTAGTTACGTTACCTTATCTAGAAAAATAAATTTTACAGATGTGATTTAGATCTTGAGATGGGATTACCCTGGTGTGCTCTAAATATAATCATATGTCTCCTTGTAAAAGGCAGGCAGAAGGAGATTATAGATATAAGAGGAGAAGGCCGTGTGAGGATGGAGAGGCTAAAGCGATGTGCCTACAAATCAAGGAATGTTGTAGTCATCAGAAACTGGAAGAGACAAGGAAAGGAATCTCCCCTAGAGCCTCCAGAGGGAGAACGACTTTGCCAACACCTTGACTTTGGCCTAGTGACAGTGATTTTGGCATCTGGCCTCCAAAACGATCAGAGACTATATTTCTATCACTTTCAGCCAAGAAAAATCTGTGGTAATTTGTCACAGCAGCCACATGAAACTAATGAAGCAGGTAAGTAAGTTCTTAAGATTTCAAGTAAATTTAATGGTATAAAAAATAGAAATGAAAGAGATTTACCATTTACTGAGTACCTACATAAATTATCTCATAAAATCATCAGTAGCAACCCTATTACTATTAGCTCTTTTAATTAGCAGAGATCATACCCATACCTATGTTTCTTGCATAACTGCTCTGACATTGCTCTGATCAGCAATGCAAATTGAGGAAGTGACTTTTATTCTCCCAAATAAACTTAGAGATGTACAAGAATGCTATTTTAAATTACTTCATGCAGAATTCTATCTAAAATAAAAATTTATCCATAGTCATTAGTTTAGTTGAAAAATCTGCATTACTTCTTTCCACTGACTTCAAAGATTGAAAAATTAAAAATAATTCTCAATGAAATTTGAGATAGTCATGTCAGATTTATGATTTCTTTAAAACATTTTTCCCATTAACATTAATCACCAATCCAAGGACAGAAATAAAAAATGTGTGTGCCTAGATCAGCTCAGGAATTTACAGATACCACAGAGCATTTAGAGTGAATAAAATGGCAACAAGCATGTGGACACTGACTTGGTGTCTGACACTGTGCTTAGGATTGGTGATGTGGCAATGAAGTAGCCTGATGGTTTACTCAATGGCAAAACACAAGTGACTACTGGCCCAATCTTCGTATCAATGCCATTACTTACATAAAAAACAAGTCTCATTTAAAAAAATTAATATTATAGTGAATAATAATATTCACCTAGAATCATCAGATAATAAGTGTCACAGGTTATATTTAAGCCCAGGAACATCTCACTCCAAAGTAAATCCCCTTAATATGACATCACATTGTTTGACTACAGACTTAAAAATGTTATGATTATGATTTTTAAAGTGATGGGGGTCTCACCACATTGCCCACGTTGGAGTGCAGCAGCTATTCACAGGCACTATCATAGCATACCATGGCCTTGAACTCCCGGCCTCAGATTCCCGAGTAGCTGGGACAACAGGCATGTGCCACTATGCCCACATGAATACAAGTTTTATTCAGATAGAACTGTTTTTGGCTACTAATAAAGAAAATATTAAAACTGCTGCAATGGTATGTTAACCTAAAAAAAAATTACGCTTACCTGGTTATTGCTGGGGCTGGTACACCTCTTGTACGCAAGGTGGGTTTCCCTCGAACCACTGGAACATCTGCATTTTCTGAACCACCATTCAAATATGTTAATTCCTGGAGCTGTGCTTGCCTGATCTCATCATTATAGTCCTACACAAAAGACAGAAGATAGCAAAATTCACTTCATATTAGAAATACAAAAATATTTAGAACAAAAAGCAAGTAATTCTTAGTAGAAAAAAAGGGTTAGGAAAATAGTTGAATCAATTTACAAAACAATAAAATAAAAATTTGCTAAAATAAAAATGTGATAATAAATTTTTGTAAAAAACGAAGAAAAAAAACTATAGCATTTTTTCCTCAAGCTAAAATTTTCTATAATCAGCCACTAACCTTTCTCTGGGCATACTTTGCAACTGAGACATTTATAATAAAATTAAAATATCATAAAACTGATATATGGGTATTGTTATTTGCAACTCAATTCAACTAGCAGGTATTGATTACCTATAATGAACCAAGTAACAGAGAAACAAAGAGGAATTAAGCAATAGCCCAGCACCCAGGGACTTCAATCTAGCAAAGAGGAAGGATATATATACGTACAACAGGATAGCCTTCATGTAGTTAAGAACCACAGGGACACAGGCTTTTTGCACATTTCCAATAGAAAATTATACAAGTTGTGAAATTCAACATTTTCAGAATTGAACACATAATCTTATTCCTGAAAATTTGCTCTTCTCCTTTCATCTTACATTATCATCCAAAGATTCAACTAAGAAACTCTAGGGGTCATCCTTGATTTCTCCTGCTTCCTTAGCACCCTGAACTCCATTCAACAATCATCAACTAAGACATGGGTAAATGTAAGCGTAATCTATTTTACAAAAAAGGGAAAGTTCAGGTCTAAAGGATCAAAAAGGAAATAGTAAGTTCATTACAAGAAGTGCTGCCTCAGGATGAGAACTAAAGGGCTAATATCCAAAATCTACAAAGAACTTAAACAAACTTACAAGAAAAAAGCGAACAACCCCATCAAAAAATGGGCAAAGGATATGAACAGACACTTCTCAGAAGTCCTAATTTCATGGGATTTATTAACAGTAAAGCCACTACTGTCAGAAACAGTGGTTTGGGTGAAAGGTAGAGATGGAATCCGTTTCAGTGGAATAAATAATAAACAGCAGTAAGCCAGAGAAAGTCAAGGCAGGCAGCTTCTTCCAGCTGTATGGGCACAATGAAAATGAGAGAGAAGATCATAGTTTTCAGGGAGGAGCAGAGGATTTTAAGACAGAAGAAACATGAGCAAATAAGAGTGTAAATAGAAGATTTGGAGGAGACAGATTCCTGAATTATTTATTATTTAGAATTAAAAACCTGAAAGACATTCAGGAAATTTATTTTTAAAATACTACCTCTTTTCAAAAGCAGAATGCAAAAAAATGGCTTGAAACTTGTAGTAGAAGGCATTCTGGAATTAAAAAAAATATGAACACCAGTCAAAAAGAAAGTTAAAATCATAATCAGCTAACACTTGCAAAGCAGGAAGAAGAGAAGGCAAATGATGACCAATACAAGTCACTGTGATTGACAGGGAAAATTAAGAATGGAGTCAATACTTTATTGTAAATAAAAATTACTTCCCTGACTTATTTCAGGTATTGTGACCTCAGGGGAAGCATCTAGTTCTTTCCATCATTATGTCAACCTCTCTAAAATAAGCCTATTAGTATGTTACCAGCCATTTTACTGAAAATGTGTGAAGATTAACACATACTTTGTAAAGCACATTCTAAATAAGTGATTTGTAAAGCTCTAAATATAATGTGCTATATAAATGGTAAATATTTGACCTGCTGAAAAGTTAGGAGGTGTAATAGTAAATTGTAAGAAGTTAAAAATAGATTCATGCAAAAAGAACACAGTCGAAGCCCTATTCAGAAACAACATTAAAAAATATTGTTCTAAGTAAGGTTAGGTGATTATAACAGTATCACAAAAACTATAACGTCCATTTAAAATACCATCTTTGAAAAACTACATTTAAGAAATATGGAATTTGAATCAATCACATCTGAGGTTAAGCCTAAATTTAACCAACTGAACTTAACAGCTATGTGATTTTAGACAATTTTTTAAAATTCTAGGTGACTGTTTCTCCTGGTGTCAAATGGACCCTGCTGATATTACCATTATAGTTAGAATTTTCTTGGTCTTTGAAAAAATGCTTTTAAATTAGTAGAGAATGCAAATCATTCATAGTAGCTTACAGACTAACTTATTTTTGTAATTTTGCATTTTAAATTATCATTTTTAACTCCCCATCTGAAAAGTGAAACTATTACAACATTAATATTAACACCATCATGAATTGTAAAGAGCGGAAAAGCCATTAAAATTTTGATTAAATATGTGTAAGCAGGACTTGACTATCCAGTGAGCTTAGAATCTATTCAAATATATGTTAGCCTGAAGAACGGAGAAAAAATTTTTAAATGAAGTGATTAAAAGTAACTCATAGAAATTCAGTGGGTTCTCTGTTAGGAATTTACTCTTCAGATATATTTGCCAAAATATGCCAACAGTTATGTCCAAGGTTAATCCTAGGATCACTGTTTGTATTGTGATCTATAAGAAGTAACCTCAATGTTCATTATTTGAGGGCCAATTAAATAAACTCTGGAACATGCATATAACAAAATATTATGCAGACATTAAAAAGAATGAAATAAAACTGCATATGCTCATAGGAACAAGGTCCAAAATCACCTAAGTTAAAAACAAAAGGTACTAATAGGACATGCCACTTCTGGTACAGCTAAGGGAGGAGCTCAGCAAAGCCTCTCCCACAAAAAGCAAAATAAAAACTGAGGAAATGGTTCAAAGTAACCATTTTAGGAGTTGAAAACTGACTAAAGGTACACAGTAAACTGAAAATACAATGTATTTATTCAATAAAAAGTGCTACATTTCAAGTAAGAAAAATGAGTCTGGCCGGCTTGCCAAAGGATGCACCTAGTATTGCTGTCTTGAGTGGCGTCAAGAAACTGACCATCAGGCTAGCCAGAAATTGGACAGAGATTCAGGAAATGAGACAGTCTTGAAAAGCTCGCCACACTCCTCTGGCTGGATGGAAGGCTATGTGCATGGACAGCAAGAAGAGAATGAGGCAAAGCTCTCCATACAACCTTTCCTGAAGGCGAGTACACATATATGCAGAGGACACAGGAGGAATCCCAGAGCAACAGATAAGCCAGGGTGGACATGACGAGAGTCTTCCTGGATCCACTCCCCCATGTACACGCACAGCTCCATCATTAGAGGATGGAAACCTCACTGACACAGTTGTGTGAACACGAGCTCCTGTTGGCTGTCCACTAAGCAGTGCTGACACAGACAACATCCCTAGCAGGCCAGGTTTAAAAATAAAAGCAACAAAACAAAACAACAACAACAAAACACATTAACAGAGATATTATTAGCTGTAACTATGAGGAAGACAGGCTGCAAATTTATTCCAACTAAATTATTAAGGAACTAGAAGACAAAAAAAAAAAAAAAAAACTGTCTGCAACAAAATCCCTCTGGGAAGAAAACAAATCAGATTACAGGTTTGCTATAATATGTTATTGAAAATATAGACTTTTCAGCAAAAAACTAAGAAACATGCAAAGAAACAGGAAAACGTGACCCATACTCAGGGGGAGAAAAGCAGTACAAAGAAACTGTATTGGAGAGGGCCCAGATGTTGGACTTGCAACACAAGAACATTTAAAAAGCATATTACCCGCAATGAAAAATTCACTAGAGGAGTTCAATAACAGCTATGAGCTGGCAGAAGAATTAGTTAACTTGAAGACTGGTCCATTAAAATTATCCAGAGTGAGGTACATGGAGAAAAAAGGATGAAAAATCTTGAATGTCAGAAATTCATGAGACACCAGCATGTGTATCAACATACATGTAACTATAATTAGGGGGTGTGGTGGGGGGTAGAAAGGCAGAAAAAGTTTAAATAGCTGAAAACTTTCCACATTTAATGAAAAACATAAACCTATAGATGCACAAAGCTTAGCCAACAAATAGGATAAACGTGTACATCACACCCAAATTGCTGACAACCAGAGGCAGAAAAAAATCTTGACAGCAGCAAGAGAAAAACAACAGATTATACACAGGAGAACAGTAAAATGATTAATGACTCTTCTCATCAAAAATAACAGAGGTCAGAAGGTAGCAAAGCAGCATATTCAAAGTGCTGGAGAAACAAAAAACAAAAACTATCAATCAATAATTATATTATCTATTTTTTTTGGATGTAGGTGAAATAAAGACATTCCCAGAAAAACAAAAGACTTTTTGCTAGCAGACCTAGGTTACAGGAAAGTCTAAAGAAAAACCTTCAGGCTGAAAAGAAATAACACCATATGGCAACTCTATCCACAGGAAGAAATGAAGGGCACCCAAAATAGTGTAAGTTAATATAAAAGACTCCAGAAAAATACTGTGCTACAAACTAATGTCCCTCATAATTACAGATGCAAAAATCCTTAACAAACTATTAGTAAACCGTATCTAGCAACACATAAAGAATACTACATGCTATGACCAAGTGGGAATTATCCTTGGAATGCAAATGTGGCCTCATATCTGAAATCAACTAACGTAATACACTATTATTCACAAAATAAAGGAGAATAAAACCACACAATCATCTCAGGAGGAAAAAGATTTGCAAAATTCAATACCCATATTTATACATTTATTCAGGATAAAAACTCTCAACAACGAGAAATATAAGAGAACTTCCTCAACATGACAAAGAGCAGCAATAAAAAAACCTACAGCCAACGGTGAAAGGCTGAATGCTTTCCCCCTAGTTTTAGAAACAACACTGCACTGATGGTTCTAGTCAGTGTGATAAGGAACGGAATGGAGTGGAATGGAATAGAAGAGAATAACAACATTACATTAAAAAAAATTAAAGGCATCCATATTGGAAAGGAGCTAGTTAAGTCGTCTTTATTCACAGATGACATGCTCCTGTATTCCACTAATTAGGATTCCACTTAATCATTGTAATGATTCTATTTTAAAACACCACACTGTAACTAATAAACACGGCAAGATCACAAGATACAAAATCAATATACAGAACTCAAGTGTATTTCTATACACTAGTAACCATCTGAAAATGAAATTTTAAAAATTGCACTCACAATAGTATCAAAAAGTATACAATATTTACAAATCAATTTTGCAAAAGGAAAGGAAAAGGCTGATACCCTGAAAACGATAAAACACTATTGAGAAAAATTTTGTAATATCTTTTTTAACAGTGAAGAAACATTTCACGTTCCTGGATTGGAAAACTCAAAATTGTTAAGATGAAAATTATCCCCAAACTGATCTATAGATTCAATATAATATGTATCAAATCCCAGCCAGCTTTTTTTTTTTTTAACAGAAATTAAGAAGTGGATCCTAAAACATATATAAAAATGCTAAGAAGCCAGAAAAGTAAAAAAAAAGCTTGAAAAAGAACAAAGTTGGACAATTTACACAACCTAGATTTCCAGATTTACTTAAAGCTAAAGTAATTAAGAGCATGCTACTGGCATTAAGAGTAGGCATACAAATCAATGAAAAAGAACTTGAGAGTGCAGAAATAAACCTTTACATTTATGTTTAGTAAATTTTCAACAATGGTACTAAGGTACTGAATGAGGAAATGATTGTCTTTTCAACATATGGTGCTAGGAAAACTGGATATTCATCCAGAAAAACATAAATTTAGAGACCTGAAATAAACAAATTAACTCAAAATGGATTTTAAGTGAGAGAATACTGAAAAACACCTAAAGAAAACAGAAAATCTTGGTGACCTTCAGTAGGCGAAGATTCTTTTGGCCAGCCCAGATTCGGTGTGAGGGAAATTAGAGTCTACCCCGGGGAAGGACTGTAGGGGTCACGGGATAAAAGGTGCTACTGCAGCCATCTTTGGAAAAGAGAATCTGTCTCACCTGGCTGGAGACGCACTGCCTGCGCCACACTGCATCATCACCAAAACATACACCTCTCCTTAGCTGTGGTCTTGTCAGGGTTTCAGTTTCGTAGTCATTTGTATGAAAAACTGATTCATATCTGACTTTGCCATGAAACTCCATGAGAGATCATGTATTTTATTAGTTCACATCTGCCTATCACATAGCGAAGCCCTTAGAAATTTTGTTTTTAAACTAAATGAAGAAATAGATTGTCATATTTGCTCATGGGAATTAAAGAAAATACTAGCCATTTCAGTTCCCAGGTTATTACATACTTAATGCAATTCCATGTCCTGGCTTTTTAAAGGCAAAAGTGATTTAAATATCCTTTGCCTATAAATATAACAATTGTTTTCCTCAGACATAGTATAATCACAGTACAAGTGCTGTAGTATGTAAGTCAATCCACCAAACTAGCCTAGGATGACCAAAGACAGTCTTATCCAGAGAACTATTTGACAGATGTGTCAGTTTCTCTAAAATAGTCTGCAGCGCCGAAGTGTTGAATACTTTATGATTCTTTTTACCAAGAGCATGCAAATGACATAAAAAGTCCTTTTATCAAGAGCATACAAATCACACAAAAGACTTAAATCAATTTTTGTAACAGAGGTAGAGATGTATTCCCTTTAAATTGTCACATCCTTAGCAATGTCAAGGTGTCTGCAAGGGTTAAAACAGATAGTCAATTTTTAACAAAACATCCAAAATACTTGGCAGAAGCTAGCTAAATAGCCCATGCCCTCTGTGCTCATTATGGTTATGTCTGTTACTATATTTATCATGTTGTACTGAAATCATCTATTGATGTTTCTCTTTTCCTCTAAATTACATAATATATTATACTAAACGAGGGCAGGGACTGCTTTTATTCAAGTCTGCATGCCAACACCAAGCACCGTGCATGGCACGCAGAAGGCACTAACGGTTTTGTGTTGAAGAACAAAAAATTTGTAAAGTGTCACATAAAATCGTAGGAAAAGTGTTTCAAAACCTGAACTAGGGATTGTGCTATGCAAGTTTTTTAGCTATGTAACCTTGGCCGTATTATTGAATCTTTCTGAAATTCCAACACCTCATATATAAAGAAGGAATGATGCCCAGTAATTCACAGGGACACTGTAAGGTCTACATGAGGTGATGTCCATACAGCTTTTCAGCGGAAAAGGAGCTACGCAAATAACAGTTACAGACAAGAATTATCAAGGATTAAAGCAAAGACTTTAAAGTACAAGTTAACAATCAAGAAAAATTGTACTAACAGGGATGAGGAACTTTTTGATTTCTTCCAAAGCATGTCCCATCCTGGCATAAGCTTCTGCAGGTGGGGCAAACACTTCAATGAGAACATGGAGATCATCATTGAGATGGAAGTACTTTGCTTCTCCACTTTTCCTCAACTCTTCTTCCTGGAAAAAAGAAAAAAGAAATCCCATTCAAAAATGTGTCATTGTAAGAAATGAAAAAATAAAAAAATAAGTAAATAAAAACTAATCCCCCAAAATAAAAACAATCCATTTGGCATGCGGTTGTCACAGAAAATCCACGCAACAGTAGACACCACTCTAGAAAAGAAGGTTTAAGCTACAAATGTCATCCTGATATTCCCAGGCTTTTACACACACTCCAAAGGCTTCCTACTGCTGCTGGAATAACATCCCACTCCAGATGCTGACTTGTAGGAGCTCCATCATCTGCTCACTTCCACTGCTAGGCTGTCTTCACCTTCTCCAGTCTCGTTTGCTCAACCCTCAGCAGCAGCTGCCCATGCTTCCTTTGTGCTTCTCAACCTGGCTGAGCTCACGTGCTCACTTCTACACTGGCTATGTGTGTCTGTGATGCTGGTACAAGGCACTTACCACTATCTGAAATATCTTATTTAAAAAAACATGTCTATTTTCTCTTAGTAAAAAGTGATTACCATGGAGCAGACACTGTGACTGCTTTGCTTAGTGATGCATTTTCCATGTCTAGAAAAGTGCTTGGTATACAGATGTTCAACAAAGATTTGTTGAATGAATGATTAAACATTCATTCATTGCTATGTCAATTTGCTCGTTCACATATTCATTCAAAAAACATTTCTACATACCAAGCACTACATTCTGAGAATAAAACAGTGAATAAAACAAAATGAAAGACTTTATTACATTATTTTACACAATTATGACAAAAGTTTTTAATCTTTGTTTCCATAATGAAATGCAGGAGGAAAACTAGGAGGAGAAAAAACAGATTGTTAAGGAACTCCTGATTTTGCTCCCCTGCCTTTTCCTAACTAACCTTCAATGTTAGGTCCTCATTTCAGAATCTGGGTCTTCCATTAGTCTTTGTTTCCAATATTAATATCAGACAGATTAAGATTAACAGAAATCTGAGACTAATTTCCAAAAGATAAGAAATCTTTCTAGTCTCTCAAAAAGGCTATCCCATAACCAAGGGAACCCCAGGAATTCCTGGCAATACCACCTTTTAATTTCACAACTAAGCAAGAGGCCAATGATGAAATGCTAGAAGCACATAAACCTTGACTTCACCCTTGAAGGATTCAACTTCTGTGATTTGACTATTTGAACTCTTATGAAGAAAAGAAAGAGTAATACACAGAGCCGGAGATGAGCATGGGATTTACTCAGCTATACTTTCATCTCAGCTATGCTGGTCCTAGCCATGCGAGTTTAGACAGACTGTATGTAATCCAATACTTAATTTGCAAAATCTGTTTATTGGTAGCACATTATGTTAATGCAGAACTACTGAGAACACAAGGGACAGCTTTATACAAATGCTGGTGAAAGGAGACAGTGTATACACTACCTAGTCCACTGCCTAACATACAGTAGGCACCAACACATGCTAGCTTCCATCATATTACTAGAAGTATGCCAGAAACTGAATGAAAGGAAAAAACATAAGGGAAGGTATGTAAATATAAGCTGCCACAATATTCTATAAATTTCCTTTGAAATTTGTTTTGACTATAAAAACCATTATCTTATGCCAACTCTTCATTGTTCTAATCAGAACATTTCAACCATCTGATCTGAATCTCTCTCTTTGCTCAAGTTTTAAAAATTGGATTCTATGTACAGCAATTCATCTCTGAAAGCACAAATTATTGAAACAAACATTTATCCTTTTCTAATAGAGTACCAAAATAATGATTTTAATTGTTCATTCTTATTCAAGCATTTTTATTTCTATCACAAACTTAAGCAGGACAGAGAGGCTTTCTTATCATAGCTGTAGCCATGGTACAATTCCACAGAGGAGTTATTACCAAACCACTCTATAGATTAATGATGAGAGGCAATGTGTTATTTGGAGAAACACATAGATGCTGAAATTCTGCATTAAACCCCTAATCCAACATTTATTGTATGACTTGGGCAGGTTACATTACCCTCATCTTAAAGGGGTGATTTTTAAGTGGGGAAAATAATAGTATAGTACTTATCTCAGAAGGCTGTTATGGTAATAAAGGAGTTAGCAAACAAAACATCTTTAGGATGAAGCCTTGCACCTAATAAGCACTCAGTAAATGATAAATGTAGTAATGCTAATTATTATATAACTATCATTTTATTTATTCTATTATGTATAGTATAGACGATGCAGGCAAAACATCCCGCACCAAGTTTGGCACAAACTGAAGGCTCAACAGACCAGAGCATTGTCATGATTATTATGCTATGTAACCAACTGATATACATCAGTAATGACCCCCATAATTTCATAACGTAGCGAATAAATGCAGAAAATAAATTATATTCACATTAGATTTTAAATAGTGAACACTTTTAAAATCTAAAAGGATGAGATTAAAATAATAAGGGAATCTCTTTAGAAATAAACATATTAACAGATAACTTTTGAAAACTAAAACTAGTAAAAAGGATCAACTGAAATCAATATTCAAGAATTCAGGCAGGCCGGGCGCGGTGGCTCAAGCCTGTAATCCCAGGACTTTGGGAGGCCGAGACGGGTGGATCACGAGGTCAGGAGATCGAGACCATCCTGGCTAACACGGTGAAACCCCGTCTCTACTAAAAAATACAAAAAAAAAAAAAACTAGCCGGGCGAGGTGGCGGGCGCCTGTCGTCCCAGCTACTCGGGAGGCTGAGGCAGGAGAATGGCGTGAACCCGGGAGGCGGAGCTTGCAGTGAGCTGAGATCCGGCCACCACACTCCAGCCTGGGTGACAGAGCGAGACTCCGTCTCAAAAAAAAAAAAAGAATTCAGGCAGTGACGATAATACAGCAGATGGGATACTAGTATAATCTTGTTTTTGTTGTTGTTGTTGTCGTTGTTGTTGTTGTTTTGGTTTTGGAGACAGAGTCTCGCTCTTTCACCCAGGTTTGAGTGCAATGGCTCAATCTTGGCTAACTGCAACCTCCGCTTCCTGGGTTCAAGCAATTCTCCTGTCTCAGCCTCTGGAGTGGCTGGGATTACAGGCGTGTACCACCATGCCCGGCTAATTTTTATATTTTTAGTAAAGACGGGGTTTCACCATGTTGGCCAGGCTGGTCTCGAACTCCTGACCTCAGGTGATCCCGCCGCCTTGGCCTCCCAAAGTGCTGGGATTGCACGTGTGAGCCACCGTGACTGGCCAGTATCCATTTAAGTTGCAAACCTGTCACTTAAATGATCATCTGTGGTCACCCTCAGTAAAATGCTTTTGAAAGAATGACTGATGGATCACGTGACAGAGGCTACAGCACAGTATGGGACAAAATGGGGAGGGGAGTACAGGTAGGCAAGAGGTAGACAAAGCTGATGGAAAAGAGTTGAGAGAGAAAATGACAGACTGGGGGCTTTACGTTGTTATCAGTTCAGGCCCAAAGAGCCAGAAGCAAGCTAGAGTGCACTGTTTGCAGCCACAGGTTGACGGGGTCAACAAACAGATGCAGAGTTCAAGTCTGTGTGCAGCTGAATAAAAATGCAGATGCCCAGCCATCTCTTATGTGAGACTCAGGACACTGTCTGGATAACAGCAAAAACCTAAGAATAAGTTAAACCTGAGAACAAACTGACATTTGGGAGGATTCATACAACTTCGAGTACTCCAATAGTGAAATGCCACAGAGCCTTCCACAAGGCAAAAGCCTGTCTGGTGATCCTTTTCCCATGTTGCTTACACAGCTGAGGTAGTTCCTTGAAGGGAGATGACAATTCTCACGCTTCACTACTCCTCCTCCTTATCATCTCCTGGCCTACGATCAATCTCTGCTTAATCAAACGTGCAGAGAACAAGAGAGCTATGTTAAACCCAGGGAAAAGGCTGCTTGCATACAGTAACTATATTTCCTAGTGTGTGAGCTTCCTCCTAGTCCTCCCAAAACAATGAATTTCTCTAATAAACCCAGATAATATATTCAAATTCTCTGAATCTCAGATCCCAGCAAGCATCAGGGACATTTTACTAGAGTGACTTTACACCAAGGAGAGGAAACACTTAGCCAGTTTGAGAATTAACAGAACTGATTCTGACCTAACGCCACTCCCCTGAGGGCCACCAAGCAGAGTGGGGCTTACGAGACTAGAAGGTAAGGAGACTTGTGGTCCCAGTGCACTGACAGTGGGTTCAGTGGATTCTAAATCCACAATGTATGCTACTCCCCTCCCTGGTTCCCGAGGATCTTGATAAAATATACACAATCAGCCACTTGCAGAATCACCATATTGATTCGCAAAGACATAAAAATGAAAGAATCAGTGAATAGGTGATAAATGATCTGGAAAAGAGGGCCAAGCATGTAAAAACAGGGTGTCCCATGCAAATGCAGAGCAGGCATTCAGCCAGGTAGTCAAGAGGATTCATTGCAGCAGATGCTAGAGCACCTTATTCCCCAGTAGTCTCCATGCAACTCAAGGTGCTCATCAGCAAAATGGCCACGGTGGCTGGGAGGGAAGTTGCATTACTTCGTAATACAGATCCCGTCAAAAAGGATGACTGGCTATTGACATGCTGTGTGTCCAATATGCCAACAACAGAGAACCTTGATATGACAATATAATCTGGAAGGCCCACCAAGCCTTGACACTAAGCTGATAATATTTAGGATCCCTTTTATTATATGGGTAGTCAGGCACTTGCTGCTAACTTGGGCATACAATCCAGATAAAGCTTTGCCTTCCTTGTTTCCCTTCTACCTGTAAAATTCTTGGTGGATGCCCTGATTACTACCACTGTATGCCTCAAAACACTGCTTCTGACCAAGCAGTGGTTCCGACCAACCCCCTTAGCAACAAACTAAGTAAATGGGACACTGGAATCCTGCTTGTGGGTTTCACTGCTCATATCGTGCATTACCAGATGGCCTTATTAGAGCATGAACTAAGATATCAGCAAGGGTAGAGAACTTTCCTGCAAAATACACATAATTTCTGACCAACTGGCCAAATATATGTTTTCATTTTCTCCTACTGCCAGAATAGATGAGTCAGGGAATTGAAGTCATAATTTAAGACAGTAATGTTTAGTGAGTAATTAAAAAAACCAGGCCATGCACTGGAATCATTTCAAACACCTACTGAAATTCATTTTGAGGCTCTACCCTAAACAAGTAGAGGTAGGGGAATCTGTATTTTTAAACAAAATCTGATACATGTCATGTTTTCCATTGCTGTCGAAAATATATGGGTGCTGGTATCAGAAAACCATGGGTTTATTAACCATGTTAGTCGAAAACAAAAAATTTCCCAAGTTAACCCAGATAATACACTCAAGTTCTCTGAATCTCAGTTTCCTTACAGGTAAAATGAGGAAAATATTATCTCCCACCATTTTTCCAAGGATAACATGAAGGAACACATGTAAAATGTTTCACACAGTGCCTGACTCACAGTGGCAGTTCAATAAACAAATACTGGCCATTTTTATTATAAAAGCTATTATTTAGATAGCCTTTTTGTGAGGATGTTGGGAGTGTGTTGAAATCATCTGTGTTTAAAAAATCACTGTTCAACATTGCACGGTATGTGATCACTCAATGTGGATCTGATTCTCAGTAAATCTTTTAATAATGAGAAAACAACATGTGTCTTTAGAAAACAATGTAAGTGACACACATTATGATATGAGAAAATTCCTTTCAGAATTGGCATATTTAAGAAAATGATCAATAAAAATAATAGTATTTTTAGCTGGTTAAAAAAATGACTATTAATGTGAATACATCTAAGTAGAACAATTATGTGTTAGAACAATAAGCAATTACTAAAACACTTAAAATCAATTTTAATAACATTCTAAAATGCATACAATATCAAATAAAAAGCAAAAATAATAAAAGTATATACATTATAAACTCAACTATATGTAATGTCTGCACAGAAAAAAAGACTCCAAAAACACTAATCTAAAATGCAAACAGTAACGATGAGACTATAGATAGCTTTTATTTCTTTTCACGATAATTTTAATGTTATCTTACTTCCTACAAGGTGACATATTACAACTGCAATCAAAACTTTAAGTATTATGCTTTTGTTTAATGTATGACTATAAATGTTATAGATGCAGGTTTAGGTTACTACATAATCTGAAGCTGACCAGAGTGACTCAATTTTCTAAACAGTACCACAAATAAATCCCCTTATGTAACTATATATGAATACAGTGGACAATATAAGAGTACATAATATAACATAACTCACAACTTAGCCATTTTCTATAATTAATATTACCTTGGCCTTGTCTCTCATGGAACCTTTCCCAAGGATGGACATTTTTGTCAAGGTTTCTTCTTGTAAACGCTTCAGAGAATTGCCACGTGGACCCAGAAGTTTCCCCACAAAGTTGAACTAGGAAAAATAAACAACCAAATTTGTAGCATTTATATCTGAAGGAAATTTCTTAATCTTGAACATTAAGAAACACTGTAGTGTTCTACACATCACTGATTAATGGCAAATATTTAAGTTCCTGCTATATGCATCAAAATATGATGTTTCCCACAAACCACATAAAACGGGGCTAAACGTAAAATAAAAAACCCTGATATATTTCTTTATATTTATTTCAGTGATGGCTACATTCCACAACTGTGAATGAAGCTAATTTCCCAGAATTCCTTGGTTGCTATCCTAACTGTTTCAGCACACGTTGAATACCACCATGAATGAACACTTACAGGATGAGAACGTAGGTGAGAAAAAATGACAGCAGGTGTCTCTAACATGCACTACACCGGTCACTGTGGAATATCTGGTTCTTCTACCTGGTCAGCCCTTAGATCTGGTTACTCAATCAGTGAGAGTACTGGCCTAGATGAGTTCTTAAGCATTTGGTGGCTAATGGAAGCTTTACAACAAAATTTATTGCTTCTAAAATAACTAGCTATGGGAATGTGGGCCATTTATTTAACCTTAGGTGTCTGGGGTTCCTTATTCAACAAGCAGAATAGTAGTGAATTAATTAAGGTATGCCTTCTGTAACCAGACTACCATGATTTAAAACCTAGCCTTTTCTATTTGCCAGCTGAGTAACCCTGGGCAAGTTACCTAACCTGTCTATACCTCAGTTTCTTCATCTGTAAAACAGGAATGACAACAAGACCTGACTTCATAGGGCTGTTCTGATGATTCAGTCAGTCAATATAAATACTGTTTAAAACAATGCTTGCCAGATAACAGACACTCAATACATACATCTTGAATAAAAAAAATATAAATAATCAGGAATTTCATACAATTTTTAAAAGCCTTGCTATAATTAAGGTAAATCATGACTACTTCTTGCTTCCAAATAGAAAATCAGCAGGGAGGAAGCTGTTCGCCTTGGCAAGATGCTTGATTACAAACTCACAGAGCAGCCACTTCTTCTGCGATCCATGCCACTGCTGCGCTGCTGTTTCTAAGAGAAAATTGTTCCTCAATTTACCTAACTATGGCAATTGAAGTAATTTTCCTGAAATAAGTACTTATCACTTTAAAAAATCTAAATGGTATTTTTTCCTTCCCACTTTTAATTTTATTGGTCTTCAACCAAAACTCAAATATATATTTTTAATCTTTGCATGTAATTATTTTTTGCTTGTTAAAATGTCATTTTCAGTAAAATATTTTTAAATATAAAAGTTATACTTGCAGAGTTTGCAAAGTCGAATACTACTACAGGGTGGAAAAAGTGGAGTAAATGGGAGCAAGAATCACGTGGGACTGGGTACTGACCATACAATCCCACCTGATTCTAGATCCCCATTCACTTTTATTATCTTTCTGACAATTCTATTATTTGGACCTTGGACATCCTGAGATGGATTGCTATCTCTAAATTTCTCTTTTATTATTTGTATCTGTTTTACTTTCTGGAGAATTTAACTACATTTCCTATATACCTATTGATTCCTTCATTTTTGCTATCAAATGTTTAACTATGAATAAGACTGTCTTATAGCTGTTTCTTCTTTATGGTGTTTTGTTTACATTTTGTGGAAACAATGACATTTCTCATCCTTTCTGAAGATATTAATGACAGCAGCCTGTCCCCACCTTGGAGTTTAAAGTACCTGCTTCTTTCAAGAGTCTCCCCTTCCTCATTTTGTGAGCTGCTCCCTTTCTCTTTTATGGGATTTTATCAGATGTCTGGTAATCCTCTACTATCTGTTCTTAAAAATTCAGGATTGCTGACTGGAAGTTCTGTTTTCATACATGGGACTTGGCAAGAGTAGTCTTCACTGTAAACATGGCAGCTGAGTTATTTTATCAAGAGCTACTGAAATATCAGTATCTATATTTCTTTTCACTTGGGTGAGGCACTTCCCTGAAGAGAAACTCCTCAACCTTTTAAGAGGAGGTGTTAAGTCCAGCTGCCAGAATACTGGGAATCCCATCACTAAGCACACACACACTTTTAAAGGAAACAATTCCCTCATTTTCAGTGTGACATCTCACCCTCATCCTCAGTTGTATCTGTCTGTGTCTTAGAGCCTCACAGTTCTCCAATTCGACCTCTTCAAGAAACCTCTGGTCTTTTGCTAGAATGTGGAGGGGCAGATGCCTGGTTTTATAAGATGAGAACATCTTGTGATCTAACTACTTCTTATACCTTTCAACCAAGTCTACTCTTGTCAGCTCTACTCCATAAATCCACCTTTACCATAATTGCTATCTACAATTCCTGAGGGCTCTCGAGTTTTCCCACAGTAATGAACATGTTTCTGGTTGAATTCTTCTCCGCCTGCCAGCTCAGGGTTCTGCTTTCTCTGGTCTCCATTACCATTTATCTATCTATTTTGCAAGCACCAAAATTTTATAGACATCATTTGCCTATTGTCTCACTCTCCCATTCTTGTGATCTTCATAAATTTATGCCTTTTTATTTCATTTATATTTATTTTAAGAGGTTTCAAAAAGGGAGCAAAAATAAATTTTGATAGTCAGATAGTCATAATTATCTTGCATCTTAAGTGGTCAAATAGTTCCCAAGTGATAAAAACTAAGAGGCTTTAGAAATCATCCAATCCAAACATCTAATTTTATATGGAAGAATCTGAAGTCCACAGACAGATATGATTGATTAAAGGTCACTTGACAGCATTCTAGGCAAAAAGAAAAAGCATTTTATATGACCTTTATATACCTTTAGGGGTTTATTTTTTCCACTTCTGTTAGTGTTTTGTTCACAAAAGGTATATAAATGAATACTGTGACAACCAGAAACACTTTTATTTTCCCTTCTTTTTCCTCTTAACTCGGTTGGTTCAACCATTATCTCCCTGTCAAGTTAGTTCAATCTCCCCAGTCAAATTAACCCTCCCGAGTCTCAGACTTTTCATCCACAAAACACAGATCATACTACCTACTGCGGGTGCAGGTTGCATGAATTAAATAAGAAAGTATATGAAAATCACCCACGAGAGCAGCCAGCAGATTGTGTATACTTGATGCCAAATTAGTAAGTAATAAATAGATGAATTTAACTGTTGTGGATATATACAATTTTATCTGAACAAGACCCACCTTCTCTGGAACTGCCGCCCCTTCAGAACCTATGGCAAGTGGGACAAGGCTACCAAGGGAGCCACCACACTGAAAATGGCATGAGCATGGCATGACCTGGCCCAGGCCACCCAGATCGGCCATGGAATTGGTCTTTGACTGGAAGTCAAGAGATTCTGAAATTTAGAACTAATTATGTGGCTACTGAACGTCCTGAGAGCTGAGTCACAATAGTGGTAATGTGCTTGGTTGCTCTGTCAGGTTCTCAAACTGCAGATGTTGCATCACCTTCCTGTGGGACATGTGGAAATATTTAGCATGTTTATTCGGTTGTCACAATGACTAGGGTCACTACTGGGACTTACGGGCAAAGGCCTATAATGTCGGACATCAGAAATAGATGGTCCCGCCCTTCACAGAAGTGACCTGTTTAAAATGTCAGTTGTGGCCCGGGTAAGAAATACTGCTAGAGGGAAAAGCCACAGACAATTTCCTAGGCTTAAAGTCCTTATTACTATCTTCTCCATTTGCAAGTTCAATTCCTCCATGCATTCCATATGATACCCTAAGGTAGGTTTTATTTGTTGTTGCTTCTTGTTTTTTTTTTAAGAAAAAATCCTGCAAGCTAGTCACAGTACTCGCAACAAGAAAAGGCCTCACCAACAGATGGACTGAGTATGTATTTTGGACTTTCTGGATGACACAAACAATAAACAATGAAAGCAGCACAGTTCTCTTATTTGCCATTAGTCCCATAACACCTCCTGATGTCCACTTGCTATGGGTTCTGAAGGGGTGTCATCACACAGTGCCCCCATCTTATCAGCAATGTGAACACAGTGGTTTCTTAGCATTTCTAGCCTTCAGTTTCATAATTTCCAGGTGTGGCTTATAAAAGTCACTACATTTCAGGGTTATTATGAAGATTAAAATATCAGATAAAGTGCTAAGCGCTGTGACAATGTTGAATTTTACCTAAGCAGCCCTGTGCACCTAAAAGCAGTGATGATTAAGAAATCTTCCCACCCTTTTGTGTTTCTGGAAAGTGCTTGTTGCAAAGGACCACTCTTACCCACATGATTTAGATAAGACTCACAGATGATCCTTTATTTACCTACAGCAAGAACAGACACAAACCCTCAACATTTCCATTATTTTGCCCCTCAAAAATTAGCTGAACTGTTTGTTTCCACTGATCAATCAGAAAAAGACATATATCCTGAGTTAGCTAAACTTTGCTTCCACTTTTCTCCTTTCTTCAGACCCCTGAACTTTGACCCATCTTCAGTCTGAACCAGCAGACAAGCTCTACCCGAAGGACCTTTTGGAAAAAAAGCCAAAGGGGTAGTGTTGTCTGATCACCGTCCCATCCTGCCACTGCCACCCATTCATCCCACTGCCCCACACCGTTCTGGCCTCAAGCACTTCACCCAAGAAACGAAAGCCCTTTTCTGCCTGATTCCTGAGATGTAACTTACAGTTTTCACGGTCAGGTCTTTCTCCCTTTTTAATAACCCCTCTCCCTATTGCCCATAGTCTCTTTCTGTGCTCTTGCAATCACCTTTTCAAATAGTCTCTCCTTATCCATGTCCTGATTTGCTTTTTATTTTAAAACTATATCTGCAAGACAGTAAGAAATAAGAAAATACATTTTAACATTCATTTGTATAAATAATCTAATTTGTCCATTAATACATATTATTAATATTAATAAATATTCATTTATTAATATTAATAAATATTCATTTATTAATAATTTTATTGTTCACTTACATGGAAATTATCATTTTACTAATTTGCAAATTATAATTCCTAAGACTAATAATTTTTCTCCGGATGTCAATTATTGTATCTCTCACAGA